AAAAAGGGAGAGAGTTTTCTAGTCAAGGTCCTGTTCAGCAAGACCTTATCACATAGAAATGCAGCACAGCCACCCTTGGGCAAAGGCTTGTCAGCAACTCAGAGGGTGAACCTGGCAGTGGGGTGAGGGTTTAGAGAAAATGAGTAAAGAGAGTTCCCTCTTGTCATCATCATTTCTTAGGTACTAGGGCAACACATGTACCTCTCCCTCTGCTATCCCAGGAGATGCAGTGCGAGCATGAGATCGAACAGGCATAATTAACATTTACAGCAAGGAGGGCTCCTGCGATTCCTGAATTTTTAATATCAGTGGCTACAGAACTGGAGCCCTCTTATGTGGAGCTAAAGAAAATGAGACGTGGCTAAGTAAGCTCCATTATCTCCAGCTACAGCCCTGTGAAACACTGATAATTAGTTTACAAGCATGCAGAGACAAGAGAGTTATTCATCCCCTTCAAGCTGTCTGGTGCACTGCGGTGTTTCTGCAGACCTCTAATGCTAATCCCTATCTTTGGGATTGCAAATCACCTTTTGTAAGTTTGAAACGTGGCTCTCACTTTTAACCCAAAGGAAATAGCACTTGGAACACATGAGCACTCCCTAGGGACTCATGTTTTCCCGATCAGTGCATCTTAGAGGTCCACAGTAGGGTTTTAAAAAAATCTGACTAAAGGAGGTGGTTAAATCTCTTTGAAGTCTGTGCATTATCCAGTGCATCATGCAAAGAGATCTGTCTTCAGGAAAATTACACTGATCTATTTGTTTGGACTTCTTAAAAATCTGAAATGTCCCTGTTCAAACTTTGTAACAAGTTGGCAAGGGTTATTGACAGAGAAGTACCCAAACCCAAAAGGTTAATCTGTACTGTTACTCCTGACAAGCCTCCATCACTCAACCTTCTACACCAGGCTCCCTCTAGTGCTCCCAGGCACGCACAGCACCGAGGGACACCAGCACTGGGAACCAGCATTAACAGGCAGCTGCAGAACAGGCTGATTTTTGGGCTAGCTGCTATTTTTAAGAAAGGAAACTGTTTTGGATCAATGTTTCCCCATTGGATTTTAAATTAAAAGTAATAGAAAAAAATTACTAGGAACCGAACAAAATGTTTTCTTTCTGAGAGTTTTAAAGATGTTTTAAAAAGCATTTTAAAAGAAATTATCATTTTGAATTTAGAAAAAATATGTATTTTTCCTTGAGGGTCCCTTTCATTTTTTTTAAAGGCATACTTGGCTGAAAAACTTCACTGATCAAAATGCACTGAACGTTTTGGTCAACTCATCCAACACAAAATTCAAACAAAAAGAAAGTTGGACCGAAAAGTCACTAGGTTCACATCAACTGCAGGAAACAAAGTCTCTTTCCATCCTGCCAAAGTATAAGGAAGCTGCCCTGCAGAACTTTTTCTGAAGCATGGTAGTCACCCTCTATGTACCAGTGAGGGACTCGGTGTCCTGTACCAGCAGTAGGGCTCTGGCATTTCCCATGCAGCTTGAACTTTATCTTCACAGAATTGCCAACAAGAATATTGCATCAAATCCTTAAAATGAGTGAATTGTGATTAAAAAAAAACCCTATTGTTGTGATCTCCAGAACTTCCTACCCACTCCTGGGCAAATTATTTAAGCTAACATCAACAAAGGTGGAAAAAATGCTTAATTTTCCACTGTAAGAAGAGTACTTTGCTTCAGTTACCAGTCTACACTATGAAAAGAATAGCATTGATATTGCCCCTGGGGCACTGTAAGGTTAAACACAGGAAAGATTGAGAGGCCTTCAGATATAATGATAATATGGCCTTGTAAGTACTGGTGAGAGACAGAAATGTGGGAGTGACAAACACAGAAAGATTTAACTGTGTTTAAGTATTTTTATATAAAATAATTTTGGAACATATCCTCAGGGCAAGACTGACCCCATTGTGCTGCTTTCAGGATTTCTGATGCATCTGCCTCATTACAGAGCTCCCAGGAGGGTGGGTGGTAACTGGCAGAGATCCCCCTTGCTTTTGCATTATTTTTGGTTATGGCATGTAATTGAAAAGGAGCTGAAACGCCTTAGTTGTAGCCTGAGCTTCCCCTTCATGTATTTGCACATGATTAATGAGTAGCCAAAAAGCCTGAAGGGTTTGTAATGAAGCCTTTCTAATAGGGAAATGTATTGTAGACAAATTCATATTTTGTCCCAAACAATCATTCATCAAACCTGCAATTTGCCTCTTCACAATTAAATGCCAGAGCACCCGGACCATCCTGAGATTAGCCAGCTGTAACCCATGCTCCTCTCTGCACTCTGGCTGAGAGGGACATTATCCATTTCCAGGGAATCAGCCCATTTCCTTTGTCACTAGCCATAATTAGCAGCTGTATTTGATGACCTTTGATTAGAGAGACAGTTCACAAAACCTGAGACTACGGTGGATGACTACTCATACAGGCCTCAATTCAACAAAGCACATAGCACATGCTGAGCATTAGCATGGGTCAAAAGTCTGACCTACAGGCATTTGTCGAGGGCAGGGGACCTTTGCAGTGGGAGTCCATCTATCCCACAGCATGGATGGAAAGACAAAGTTAGAGTATCCAGAGTCTGTCCTTGAAAGCACAGGAGACACTTACCAAGGCCTGGTTTAACATGTCATTAAGCGACACTGACACAGACGCCCTGTTGCAGTCTGCTCTGCAGGTGATGTGTGAACTGCAAGCAGTTCTGGCAAATCTGGGAGCCCACTATGTTCCTGAGGTCCTGGTTAAAACAAGACTCTTAATCATTTGCTTTAAATATTTAATCTTTCAATAGCGTCCAGAGCCCAAATCTCAGGTCCATTAAACAGGATGTTTAACCAACCTGTCAAAAGATGCCAGGCCTGTAAAGAAGTCAACCTGTTGGTCTGGTAGAATAAGTACAATTTTGGATAGCTTCTTTTAGTGCAGTCCCTAAGGACTGGATTGAGGCCCACAATATGTTTTGCTCTGGTCCTCAAATGGCTGATGAATAACAACACATTTCATTCAGTTCCGTTACATGCTGAGCTCAAATCAGTATCTAGGGATGAAAGACAGAAAATTTCTCCCACTTGTAATTTCACCCTGTAATGCAATATAGGTGTTACAATGCAATAAAATAATATTGTAAATTATTAGAATTTCACCCGCTCAGAATACTTTTGGGAAGAACTTTCAGAGTTGGAGCTTCAGGGTTGAAAAGTCCTGACCTTAAAAAAAAGACTGCTGAAGAGTCCAGCAGTCACATGTTAATTTATAACCATGTGATTATTTTGTTTTTAATTAGGGAGTAACAGCCACTGCTTTCAAAGGCTTTACTGGAGTTCCCACACTTCATCCACAGAGTCTGGTGTGCCTGCCTGTCTCACAGTTGAGAGATGGCCAAGGGGAAAGCAAAAGGTCAAAAAGGGAGGAAGATCACCTTGAAAATTGCCAAAAATTCCATCCGGATATCTTTTGATGGAGGGCGCCGTCTTGACTTAAGCAAGATGGGTATTACCACCTTCCCCAAGTGCATTCTGAAACTGGCTGATGTGGATGAACTTGATTTGAGCAGAAACATGTTAAAAAAGATTCCAAGTAGCATCCAGAAGTTCCAGAAACTGCGTTGGCTGGACCTGCATAGTAATCAGCTCGAGGAGCTGCCTGAGGCAATAGGTACGCTTCAGAACCTTTTCTACTTGAATATATGCAACAACAAGCTGACCACCAGAAATCTGCCAGAAGAGTTGAACCTTCTCAAGAACCTGCGTATTCTCAACCTTGGCTTGAACTGTCTTGACAGTATTCCCACTAGTCTTGGGGCCCTGAAGGAACTTAAGGAGATAGGTCTCTTTGACAATGCCTTGACCACCATCCCAAACAGTGTGAAAAAGCTCCCCAAGCTCAAGAAACTGAATGCAAAAAGAAACCCTTTCCCAGATTCAACAAAGGAAGAGCAGCATTCTGACTCCATCAAACGCATAGAAACACTTTACTTAGTACAAGAGAAAGACCTGTGCTGTTCCTGCCTGAAGATGTGTCAGGATGAGAAGGACAAGCTGAACGAGTTAAAGAACGTGACACCCAGCCCCTCAAAGAAGCCAAGTTTCCCTTTACTCCTCACACCCAATTCCTCTGCAAAGGATAATCAAGAAGAATGGAGATTAAGAGGCAAACATCCCTGAAATATACCAAGGCACTCCACAGACCATGTCCCATGAAGTCCAGCCCAAGCTAATAAAAAGCTGACCTCCTTCCTCCTCCCTTTTCCTGCAGTTCTCTTCCTTTAAAGATCTACTCAGTTTTAGAATGAGCAGATCTGTGTGGTCTCTAAAACGAAATCCAAAACAACTAAAACAGATGTATATTTGGGAAAGGGTGCATTTGGGAAAGGAAGGACTATTTCCATCTGGGCCTGTTCCTACAACGTATTCTCCATGTTTGGGTTTGTTTGGGTTTTTTTTGGTCTTTTGTGTGTGCACGTGTCCAGGGAAGGAATCTTCAAACAGAAAGGTTTTTCTAGTAACTCCACTCCCACCACTGAGCCCAAACATTAGTTCTGCTCATTTTCATAGGGTGAGACACAATTAAACTAGTCTCAGTAAATACCATTTGGAGGAAAAGGAACAGACCTGGGAACCTTCTGTTGCTGGTGGTTGCCACCAACCCCTCGGAGAATCTTGGATAGGCACTGTCAGTGTTGGAACCATGAGCCCGTTCCAATTCAGCAGAGGCAGCAGACACAAATGTTATGCTCAGGAGTAACTGAGCAGTGCAAACACAATGCTTAGAGCTAAACAACCGGTGATCCTGTTTGCCATCAAGGGGCCAGACTCTGCATAAGCAAGTTCGCTGGGATTTTGGGTGCTATACTGTCCTGGTTTCGGCAGGGATAGAATTAATTTCCTTCCTAGTAGCTGGGACAGTGCTGTGTTTTGGATTTAGGATGAGAACAAAGTTGATAACGCACCGATGTTTTAGTTATTGCTAGGTAGTGCTTACACTAGCCAAGGACTTTTCAGCTTCCCATGCTCTACCGACTGAGAAGGCTGGAGGTGCACAAGAAGCTGGGAGGGGGCACAGCCAAACTGGCCAAAGGGACTTTCTATACCATGTGACGTCATGCTCAGTACATAAACTGGGGAAAGCTGGCCGGGGGGGCCGCTGCTCGGGGACTGGCTGGGCATCGGTCGGCGGGTGGTGAGCAATTGCACTGTGCATCACTTGCTTTGTGTATTATTATTATTACATTATTATTATTATTTTATTTCAATAATTAAACTTTTTATCTCAACCCACGAGTTTTTCTCACTTGTGCTCTTCCAATTCTCTCCCCCATCCCACCGGGGGAGGGGGGAGTGAGCAAGCGGCTGTGTGGTGCTCAGTTGCTGGCTGAGGTTAAACCATGACATATGCCTGGGTGCAGTGATCTCTAACTTGCATGACACAATCAGCATCAGTACCTATAGTCATTGTGTTTTGTCTGCCTCCGAGCCTCCCTCCAAGGAAAGTACAGAAGGGAGAAGGGGTAGGGAAAAGATTGTTCTTTTTAAGGGTCCTGGGCATATCACTTAAGCAGTGACTAAGAGAAGAAGAGTTATCCTCTTCTATGATCCAAGAGTCAGCTGGTGAATTGATGAAATCAGGTCTGGTGTCCCCACAGTACTTTTAGCTTTCTGTTCACATGTGTGCATGCACGTGTGCACCTGAGCACACACATTCACTTGCTCAAATCACATCCCTAGGGCAGAGCGTGCTGACAGCCTGCAAACAGCAATATACAGGTACAAGCAATGAGCAGATTATAAAAGCAGTCAAGCGTGACATGAGAAGAGGTGCTGGCTGTGGCCATAGTAACATATGGTGACAGCAAACATTTAAGTATATTTAAATGAAGACTAAAGTGCCACGGGCAAAGTACTCAGTTGTCCAGTAACAGCCCATTATCATTTTTTATATGGCTACAGTAGACCCTGGGAGTCAGAACTCTTGTATATTATTCCCATGGACTAGGTGGAAAAACTGATATGGGGTTTCCCAGAAATGCTACTACCTCAACATCATATGATACATCAAACTAGTAATTTCTTCTTTCCATGCTTCAGCTGTGCAGTTATTAATAGCGTGTCTGGGCAAAGAGCTTAGTCTGGCCTGCCTTCCTGTCTCAGGTAGGGCAGGAAAAGCTGGGATGCTGTGGAAGACGGCCATTGCTCCCTAGATGGGGAAGGAGCCCCTGGTGCTGCTCTTGAATTCTTCTAACTCAGAAGCAGCTCCAGAATTCAAACGAGGGAAAAGTAAACTCAGTCCTTCAGTTCCCAGACTGAAGCTTGGTAAAGGGAAGCATGCCCACTGTGGTCATTTTCTCTAACTTTCCACTTAAGCACAACTTTTCTGGGATCGTTACTTAGGCAGTGGCACTACCTTATGTTTATTTTATTTCAGCTCATGCTGTAACACGGCACAGCTAAAGCTATACCAAAGGCCCCTTACATTCTCATAGTGAAAAAGGTGCACAGGGTCCTCTCTCAGCCATTGGTGTAAAACTGAAGGCAGAGCCTTATGGGATTCAGGACAGGCTACTTTAGACCTAGACATACAGCCTGCTTCAATCTCTGAGACCAAACATGAGTCAAGTATTTCTCACAATAATCACAAGCCCAGCTAAAGCGCAAAGTTCCTGCAGCCATAGTGCATCTTATCTCAAGACATTCTCACCTGTTGAGCGCCCAGCAAGCACAGGCAAAGGAAACCCTGGGGTGATTTATTGGTTGCTCCACACAGAACACACATCATGTTCCATAGAGTCAACCATCACCTCTGGCAGAGGTTAGACTCTAGCCAGACCTGGTTGCATACTGCACTGATACTTTTTGCAAGCTGATGGCTGGTACTCAGGGCTGAACATGTTCACTTAAAAGATAGGTAATGATCTACAACAGGTAGGGTGAAAATTAAAAAGAAGAGTACAGCTGACACAGGCCACAACAACTCACAGGGGCAATCTGGCCCTCAGGTCTCAACAGCATTCCAGCCTCCAGGCTATTATTTCAGAGGACACCAATTAGGCACTTATGGTTGTGTTCCTCAGATATCCAAATTGAGAAGAGTTACAGGTATGCAAGTAACTCAAGGTCAGCATGAAACATGCTCTCAATCACCTCCCATTAGGAGAAAACTTTTTTTTCCTGCAGTGGTAAATCTGAGGGACAAGTTGGAATCTCCACTGCACAGTTACTATAACATGCCAAAACATTAATGTGTACAACTATTACTGTCTGTCCTAACCACACAATAAAGAGACCATTACGCAGAAGCATTATGGACTAGCTCTAACCTCACCTCACTGATTGTCTCTTTCCCACACTAACCATTTGTGTAGCGTTTACCAATAAAGTCATATTAAGGAGGTAATAATTATTAATTAACTATGCACAGTCAGCTACTCAACATGTTCTTCATGTCTTCATACTGTGGATGCTGTACACTAGAACGCTTTTTGGAGTTCTGGGGACACCTTTGATTCTTTAAAATAGGGGGCACAAATAGGTACATTTCTAGATGCTTTTTTTAAAGTGCAACTTATTCACACAATTGCACTTGTTATCTACAGTTATCCAATATTTCCTATGTTTTACCTTATATTCAGGGACTCTTCTGTTATCCCCTTCGACTTCAAAGCAGGTTGGAAAGAGCAAAATCTATAAGAGATATGAAAGGTCACATTAGAATTATTTAAATGGTTATCTGTATACATTACATATGTATATAATCTATGTCATGTCCTGACAGCAGCTTTCTTCCTGAAGGACACCACAGCATTTCACTGAGACTCTAACCTAGGACAAAGCTGCAAGACAACACAGCAAAAGCACACATTTAATATTAAGGAGTTGCCTATGGGATGGATAAAAGCAGTTTCTTTCCCAGATAGGGCCTTGAATTGATATATAGGGCTACGGACTTATGATCAGGTGGTTTAAGTTGCTATTAATTAAAGCCAGAGAATGAGAACCCACTCAGACATTTATCTAGCAGAAATCGCAGAAAGGAATACCAACCCACGTCTCAGCAGTTCCAACATACTTTCACTGGGCGTTTATGATATCAGACGTACTAAACCCTTGAAATACATAGCTTTGGTGACCTTCAGCTGAGCGGCAACACAGGCAGCTGAGGATCAAAACATTCTCTTGAACTGCCTCTGCAAGATTCCCCCAGAAGATGTTTGTCAGAGCTGAGAGACAGCAAAGATAAGGGCTAAACAAAGCAGCTGGCTCTGGGGCAGAACCTGATGATTCTAAGTAGCCACACTATGCAGCCAGTTTAGAAAGGAAGACTTGCATTGACTTTTTAAGCAATGCTCCATTAGAAACTGTTTAGAGATTTCAGGAGCAGGAGGAACTGCTATGATTGTTTAGAAATTAACAGTACCAATCCTCAGTCCAGGCTGCAGAATTTATCACAGGAAGTACTACGTATTGAAGTATTTTTCCTGCGTAAAGGACAGTGAAAGTAAACCTGATATAATGGTCAGAACTGCAGTAGGAGAAAAGAAAAGCAAAAGACAAAGTGCAAATTCATCACTTCATAGTCTTACATTCAAGTTCCATCAAACAAGACAAGCACATAAGGAGAAATCTTTTTTAAACAAAAATGCCATTGTTAAAAGTTAAATCCACACCAAAGATACAAAGTCAGAGTCAGACAGACAAAAACATTTTATTCCTAAAGAATTAATGACACTTCATATGTTGGAAAAAAGCAGGAAGAAACCTTTTTTCACCCAGTACTGTGAGGTGAGAAGGAGGTGGCGCTCTCATCTCAGTGAGAAGCAGCAGCACAACTACAATTGCTATTTCCTGGGATGCAGGGACATACAACTCACCATTGGGTGCTAAGAGAGTCCTACACATGCATTAGCTCCCTTGATAAATCAATGGCTATATAATGCTCCAAAGAATTCACAAGTCAGCAAAAGGAAAAATTCATAGCTTTGCTTAAGTGTAACCCGTTAAAGACCAAGGATCTGCAGTTGAAGAAAAAAGCCTCTGGGGCAGCACACAACAGACATCTGAAGCCAGGATAAATAGGGGCGATAGATCAGGAGTGTCACCTGGGCGTTCACATGTTATTATGAAGTAGCGATTACCTCTTAAATATCTTATTTCGGTCACTGTCATGGAAGACAAGAAATCTGGAGTAACCATTTTTGAAGAATATTTCCAAGGCGATCTCCTGGAAAGGTAAATCATTTACAGTGTGAAGAGCTGCAGAGCAAAGCCTAGTGCTGCAAAGAGTCCATCACGGCCTGTCCAATTCTTCAGGGCTTAAAAAAAAAAAAAGGCTTCACAAAAGGCTTCACACTTCACAAAAAAGTGTGAAGAAGTGTAGCAAAATATGCCTAATATTCCCAATTTATCCAACTGTAGGAATGCTCCTACTGGGTTGACTAGGAGTTCAAATGCTTCTCTGAAGCAAAATCAAACTCCAGATATTGGTTCCATCACCTACCTCCTCCTGCTGCTTCTGAAGCATTTTTATCTTGAAATCTCAGTGTGATTAACAGGGCACTAGTAGCATTAACTTCTAATTAGGTGACAAAGATAACACGAAGAGGGGATGCTAAATAAGAGTTTCTTTTAGAAGGCAACCATACTGCTTTCTAAACAAATAGTGAGCTCAACAGAAATGCCAAAATAATTTCTCCTGACTAGAAGCAGCAGAGGAGGAAGGGAAGTTTATGACATTTCTCACTGAAGCTTTAAATAATCAAAGTTGAAAACTTTGCCCTCGTCTTTCCACAATGTCTCCACACATTGTTTTGTTGGGCATTTCCATATAATCCTATTATTTACCCAGTGAGTGGTCCTTTTTTCCCCAAGGTCAGTCAAGTAAAACTATAAATAACTTGTAGTGTCTGGGAACCCAGACATGAGTTTCAATCCAAATATGGCAGATGCAATACAAACCTAGAGAAACACCACAATGGCAACTGCCCCATACATGATTCACAAATGAAGTATAAAGCAGAAAGATAATATAAGAGCAGCTATGACAATAAACATCTTGCAGTATTTGCTCTGAAGCTCAGCTTTCCAAACCAAGTCTACTCAAGTGTCGCCATTACAGAATTGGGCCGCGTGGTTTCACAGTGCTTTGCTCTGAGCCGGGCTATGTGCATGAACAGGAAATCATCTCTCTGAGGCACAGTAGCTGCCTAAACAGCTGATCCACCTGTCCCGCAGGGAAAGCACAAGTAATCAGTTTTCTTCTTCAGCAATATTTTTTCACTGGAGTCCCACTGCAAGAATTTGAGAGCCTGATACAGATACCTGAGTTTTCAGTTCATTAATTGAAACAAAGCAAAAATAAACAAAAAACAAAATAAACAAAAATAAACAAAAAAAGCCCCAAAAAACCCACAATCAAAGAAACACAAAACCCCCCCAAACCAACAAGCCCCGCCTTTTGCCCCAGGCCCATTCAAAGACTGTTTTTACTCATCTCCATTTTTCACTTTGGGTCACACAAAACATTTCTGTTTCACATGTTTAAAAACATCCATGCATACACAGACATGTGAATATATGAGAAGGCGGCAAGATTCCACTGGCAACTTTGATGCTATTCACAGAACAGAAGAAGAGGTGATAGTTCTGTTGCTCAGGTTGCTCACCAGTGGTGTAAGAAAATAAGCTTCATACAGTTACTCAGAAAAAGACTTAACATTCCTATACGTGCTTGGAGAGTGACCTAGCCACTGAGATATGCTATACCCTGAAGCAAGTCTTACCTACTAACATCGTCCATTTTGCATACATAATTAAATATAAAATAAAACAGGACTGAGTCATGGATGAGTGCCATACTACATGACATAAGACAATTATCAGCCCCATTTTCTCCAATATTTGAATTTTCCAAATGATTTCTTAATTCTCTGTTGAATCTCAACCTTCCAAAAATGGATTCAAAATAACAGGTAACTAATTATGGCTGCTTCACAACTCTGTATTTTTGTCAAATGCAATCTGTGAATTACCCTGTACCAAAACCCTCTAGAGCAAGTATAGGCTCTGGTGCTGCAAGAAGCTCTAGCTACAACTCTTCTGTGATGAGAATCACAGGCTCATCTAAACCAGACAAAACTAAAAGGGTACCAGGCCACTGTTATTGAGTAGCTTCTGGGTAGTGCAGCTAAAGGCACAGAGGATTCAAATCGTTTGCTCTGACTTACGATTCATGTATTGGCTCACATGCACAACCTGAAAGTTATTCCAAGAGGCCCAGGGTAAGCGTGTTACACATACCCATAATCCACTGATGTCCAAAACTACTGAAGTCTGTGGGAGCTGAGTATTACTGGAAGTAGACACTTATTGGGAGCTTCCATCAAAACACAGGAAATTGACTTCAAGTCTTATTTTCAAAAACATTGAGATAAACTGTGAAGAACATTCTTAGCCTGACAACTAATGAGCCAACCACTCCAGTGAGGGTGCTTAAACACTCTGGTGAATATAGGAAGGAGTTTGAATTACCAAAGGCTAATGAAGCAATGATGGGAGCAAAAGCATTTTGGGACTCAAGCAAAGAAATCTCAGCAGTCTTAGTAAAAATTGTGCATGTAGTTTTCAGTCACATGTCATCACTGCTGTTGCAGCTTTCCCTCAAATGACCGAGCATGTTAGTTCCTACCTGCAGAAGAAAGCGCATCAGATGTATCTCTTTTATATCATGATATGAATAACGGGAACACATCTGGTCTCCCACAGCATGATCTTTATGACATAAGTTGAAAATAAATGGATCACTGATGCTGGAAGAGAAAAAATATAAAGAACGAAAAATTAATTTGAAACACAAAAGATCAGGAGAGCCCTCAGTCCTGATCCAAGTCCTCCCTAAAGAAGAATAAAAATACTAAGAGATAGCAAGATCAACTGGGGCATACATGAATTGAAAACAAAGCTAAATACTGAAGGCAGATTTTGTACTCGTTCCCAAAATAAAATAAAGAGCCTGCAGAGGCTAAGGGTAGGTTTGGAATTACTTTAGTGCATGCAAATAGGCAGATTGCAACGTTTTGCACACACTGAAGTCTAAGAAACAGCAAGGGAAGGAGCTGGGTGGGAGAACCTGAAAGCCTGGGTCAAGGGCAAGCATCGTATGGACACACAGCTATTATAAACAGCAATTAATTGGAACTAATAATTAAGCAATTAATTCATTATTACTTTAGTTGTGTACATGTATTGCTATCTACAGCCTAGCCCATAGCAAATCCCTTAGAAAAACAACCTAAGCTTTTATCAGACCCAGTCCAATAGATCCTTAAGTCACCTGATCAGATTGACTGATATTGGACTTAGTAACAATCGGATGTAGAGCAGACAGTCAGGGAGTAAAAACATGGAGTTACTCACTGTCCCACTGGGCTTTGCACATGAGCACACAGTATGAGCAAAGAGCTAACAGACTCATTTTCAATATTGATCAGTTTCAATAAATCATGAGTCAAAGATGATAGCAGTGTGCCAAATATTAATTATGATTCTGTCTTGGAGAAACAAATAAAACCTTATGAGACAGTGAAGCTAAAGGCTCTTGTAATGACTGTTCCATATGAATAAAAGATGGGAGCCAGTCAGAAAGAAACATTAACAACAGTATAAAAGAATTGAAAAATAGAAGCGTATATGTTAGACTGCCCACCATCTCCATCTGTTGGAGCTGGGAGTCCTTGTTGCACCTCCAAAGTCTGTGAACAAGCACCTATGTTAGTTATGTTAAACAATTCTGTGAACAGATGGAAAAGATGGCAAACTTCTTACTTTGCTAATACCCCTCTTGAAATCCCCCACAAAGTCTGTGCAAATTCTAGGTATCCACGTGCCAATACTGAAGTTAACCAAGCAGATCTCTGGGAGGAAAGAATGACTCACCTGGACAAGCAGTGACGTGTACAGTAGACTTCTTCTAGAGTGGATAACACAAAGCACTCGCAGATGTAAAAGTGCTCTTTGCCAAAGAGAAGCACTCCTTCCAATGCTGTATGCCCCTGCACGACTGCCACAGAGCACTTGAATGTGACCTAGTGTGGAAGCAAGCATAATGAAGCCAGGGGTAAGTAACACAGGAGAGAGGGACAGCAGGGAGCAAGACCCAATGATGCAGAAGGACATGTGTTTGTACCAAAACAGCTGCCATCTTGATTGGCAGGTCTATAGGGATGCAGCCACAAAATCACCATATGACTGACAGTGTATGCCTCCGGTATTAGTAGTGGGGAGGGTCTGATGCCCTTTTCCCCCAGCAAATCTGTTCCTTCCCCATCTACCTGTGGCTATATTTAGCAACATCACTACAGAACATGAAGAGCTTGCAAACATTGCAGGAGTTAGCACTGCAAAACTTTGTTAAACAGCAATACTTACTACATAGGCAGGGGGTTGAAGCACTGAGGAAAGTGACTTACACAGCATCATACAGAAAAACAGTGGCATATAATTAAGATCTGTATATTTAGAATACAGAAAGGGCAAATACTTTTATTTAGATCCCAGTGAAATCTATACTTGAAAAAATCATGCAAAGAGATCTCAGGGAGTAATGAGCAAGCAAAGTATCTAATACTCTAGGTATCTCTCTCACCATGGCCAGCTGAATCAGCATACAATGGATTGAAATCTCAGTAACACAAAACTCCTTGCATTGGCACTTTTCCTTCCTATATTATACAGATGGCCAATCAAAATATATGAATCTATGATTCTAGTTGTTTTAAAGGTTTAGTTAAACATTCTGGAATAATTTAAAAAACCTCCCTTGGCATCCTAAGACTCACTTTCTTTTTCTTTCTCCTGAGCAAATTAACTTGGCCCCTAAAATAGAGGAATTTCTAACCCACAATTTAGAAGCACTGGGAATTTTTCAACAAAGTAGTTCTTCAGTCACATATGCCAGTTCATTGAAAGTTTTCTTGGGAATTGACCAGTTTTGATACAGGAAAAAAGAAGCCTTTTTTTGGGAACAGTTTGTATGGCTGAGAGATGGTGTAGAAAGGAAACAGACCAATACAGAGACCAGAAAACCCCAATGATCCAGAAAATTGTGTGGGCTGCAGGGCACTTAGAGTTCTGATTTTAAATCAAGCAGTAATTCATTGCAAAGAATTGCCCTAACATTTAGAGGCATGAAATTCCTTATTTTTCTTGTCTGTTGATTCAATCTTCTATATATACTCAGCTCTAGAAAAGCGGTGCACTGGTTAGCGCAGTCAACTGGGAGGATCAAAGTCAACTCACTGCTGTGCCCAGTTTGGACCAGAACTTTGAACCAGCATCTCCTACATTCCCATGGAAGGAGGCAGGAGCTAATCATCAGCCCAGTCTCAGATGAAGCACCCTCTATTTGCAAAAATCCCTTCAAACATTCATACTACAATAAAACACTAATGCTCCCAAAATCTTAAAACACTAATACTACCTGACATACTAAGAAAACTTCCCACTGCTGAGCTCCCCCTGTAAATCACCACAATCATGAACTACATACAATCCAGAAATGAGCGTAAAATTTTGCAAGCTGAGTCCATCTGAAACTGCAAGGACCAGAGGGCTGCATACAGAGGTATTGGATCTGAGAGGTATATATGTAACAGTAGAAGCTCGCTGGTTCAGGAATCTAGTGCAATGTTCTTGAGAGAACTGACTGACAAGTGCAAGAAGTATCACAAAGTCTGTTTTTTCTCTTAAGATCTCAATGACCTTACCTCTACTAAACTTCATAAGAACAGGGGTCCTGTATTATTTTTTGTGCATGCAAAAATGACCCAGAAATAGCATTGGTTGTACTAGATCATGTAAAGTCTACATGATGATATGCAGAGTAAGTATGGTTCTCCTTCGCTTTTTGCTTTTGTTCCTACCTCATTATTTCTGGAACCAAATCTACAACCTCCCTTGCCTCCATCCCAAAATACACAGGCTAACTCAGGTCAGCTGAAACAGACCTGCGCTGCTACACAAAAGCTTTCAGTCTTGGATGCCAGCATAACATGAATAATAAATTCATAAATAATTGAAATAAAATATTGTTTCTACATTTAATTTTTTTTACTGAAAAGCAATTATTTTACCAACAAAATGGGGGTTTCATTTTGAAATCACTTGAGTGGGCACAGAAGGTTGTTTTCATTCTGGGTTTAAAAAAAAAAACCAACCCTGGAAGATTTCTGTGGGTAATTTTTGATGAAAATCCCTTCAATCTCTTTCTCTTTCCCCTCTAAATTATTTCTAAGAGGAAGCTAGCATTTTTCCAGCACCTCTGCTGCAGAT